GATAACCATTTCTGCTGTTCAGGGGTCTGAATTGTTTGTTGATTTAACTCCCTCAGTGATCTCTGGTCATTGGTGATCACAAATTTCCTTCTAAACAAATATTGTCTCCATTTCCACAAAGTGGTATGTCGATGTGACTTGCATTTTGGGGCTTAGTTTCTTACTATAAAAAGCTAATGGCTTCCCACTTTGATGTAAAACGGCTCTTATCCCCACTCCAGAGGCATCCGTTTCCAATACAAATCCCTTGGTGAAATCAAGCAGTCCCAGAACAGGCGAGGTGCATAGACATTGCTTGAACTTTTCAAATGCTTCGTGAGCTGTATCAATCCATATGAAATAAGCTTTCTTGCACAATAAATCAGACAAGGGAGTAGCAATTGAGGCAAATCCCTTAATGAACTTGAGATAATATCCCGCAATTCCCAGAAAAATTCTCACCACTTTAACCCCAGTAGGCTGTAGCCACACTTTGATTGCCTCAATTTTCTGAGGGTCAACCGTTAAGCCTTCTCGAGTCACCACATGCCCAAAATACTCTACTCTTTCTTGTCCAAACACACATTTGGAGGCCTTAGCCACCAACCCACACTCTCTTAACCTGGTCAAAACTAGCTTAACATGGTTTAAATGCTCTTGCCAAGACCCACTGTAGATCAAAATATCATCCATAAATACTAAAACAAATTTATGCAAAAAGGACTTGAATACCTCGTTCATTATTGCTTGAAAGGTGGAAGGCGCGTTGGTTAAACCGAATAGCATTACCAGAAATTCCTAATGGCCTTCGTGTGTCCTAAATGCCGTTTTGGGTACATCTGAGGTTCTCGCTTGTATCTGATGGTAACCCGAGAGTAGATCCAGTTTTGAGAAAAACTTCGCACCTCCTAACTCATCGAACAGTTCCTCAGCAGTGGAAATGGGAAATTTATCCTTGATGGTGATTGCATTCAGGCCTTGTAGTCTATGCAGAACCTCCACGTCCCGTCTTTTTTTTTAACTAGCAACACAGGCGTAGCAACACAGGCGATGAGAATGGGCTCCGGCTCCTTTTGATGAACTGTTGTTCCAGTAACTGTTGTACCTGACGTTCCACCTATGCTTTCTGGAAATGAGAGTAAAGGTATGGTTTCACGTTCACCGGCTTGCTCGATGGTCCTAAGTGAATTGCATGATCAAATTCTCTCTCTCTGGTGGCAGTTCCTTGGGGGCTTGGAATATGTCCTGGAACTCTTCGATCAATTGACTCATCTCTGTCTGCTCAATTGCTATTGTGGGGTGCTCGTCGTCCAACACTTGCAAACTGTAACACTCAGCTATCCCCTCGGTTTCAGCTATACACCCCAAAGACTAAAAAAAACTGGTTGCGGTTCCTCTCTCGTCTCCCCCTGCAATACGTGTTTCCATTTTCCTTGATCAAACTTAAACTATAGCTTCGAAAAATCCAAGGCGACCGGTCCCAATGTGGTCATCCAAGCCACCCCTAACACCATTTTAGTACCCTCCAGCGGCAACACAAAGAAATCTGTGGTTCTCTCCGTTCCTTGAATCTCCAATTGTAAATTCTTCACGCATCCTTCATTCTGTAATGTTGCCCCATTCCCCGCTAGAACTATGAAATTAGAAGCGACGGTGATGGGTAAACCCAAGTATTTGGCCGTACGTGTCTGGATAAAATTGTGGGTACTTCCCCTGTTGATTAAGATGCGCACCTCTCGGACCTTGACCATGCCCTTGACTCGGAGCGTGGTTGGAGTCACAGCCTGCCAAAGCATTAAACGACACGAGTAGTTGTTCGTCTTCCCCATTCCTAGGTTCATCTGATTCCCTCTCAGTTCCCTATCCTCTCGATTTTCCTCCGGGGTTTCCTCATCTAGAAGGAAGAACTGTGGTTCCTTGCAGTAGTGACCATTCGCGTACTTCTCGCCGCAATAATAGCACAACGCTGTGCCTGTGCCTCTGCTGTCGTTAATCGACGTGATTGATTAGAGCTCATTCTTGGAAGAGGAAGCTCTAACGGCGGAGGTCGCCTTGGTAATGTTTTGGAACCCGACGTGAACCGAGGGGAAGCGGGTAACAAAGGAGGTGACTTGGTTCCAATACCTTTTGGCACAAATTTCTTTATTTCACCCGACTTCGCCTCGTAGAAACGGGCCAACGTTAACACCTCGGTCATTGTTGTGGGCCGCTGACCCAATACTTCATGTTTAATATCAGAACGAAACCCAAAAATGAAACACTGAGTTAGAAATTTATTCGACAACGATGTCGTCGTTCGCATTTCGCAATGCCATTTCTTCAAACCGAGTTTGGTACTCTTCCATCGAGGATGAATGTATGAGATTCGTCAGTTGTCTCTCCAGTTACTCAATTTCTGTGATCGAAAATCGGCGTCGAATGGCTTCTACAAGATGATTCCACCCCGATAACAGGCGTTGTCGGTGCATCCAACGATACTAGCGTTTCGCCATTCCTTCCATCCGAAAAGATGCCATGGTGAATCGGTGGTGGTCTTCGGTATGGTAGAACTCAAAAAAATCCTGAGCGGAAGCCAGCCACTCCTCCGGATCCACTCCGATGAAGATTGGAAGTTTGACCTGAGCAGGTCGTGGAGCCAAAAAAAAAATGAATCTTCCAAATCTGATCTCATCTTTGCTTTGCCATGACGACGGTGGTGTCCCCTCCTGTGACGATGGAGCTGAACTCCCCAATGACACCGCAATACCTGCTAACTGTTTGGCCATATCTTGTAAGGTTTTCTCAGTGGCCTCATTCCATCGACTTTGGTTTTCAGCATGCTTCTGCAAGGCCATAGTCTATTCCTGCAGAGTTTTGATTGCTTCTGTGTTACTAACCATGGTAACGAATCAACGAGAGCACCAAAATGTTAGGAACTCAGTAGCAAAGAGCATGAAATATTGAATGTAATTGAATGGAATAAAGAAGGAGATAATAGATTCAAGGAAAATATTCAGTTTCTGGTTTTTTGATAGCCCCATTCGTTTACAAACAATTTATTAAATAGTAATCCTCATAACTGATTCAATAGCAAACAAAATCGGTTAAGGTTGTTGGAGCCCTCCTTTCCCTCACTCCTCTACGTGGTTGTGTTTGTGCATCATCCGCCAGCTGTGCATTCTCATGCTGACTTGTCTCTTGCCACTACAGTAAAATTGTTCTACAGCGGCATTTTTAGCGGCGTTTTGAGAGTAAACGCCACTAACTTTAAACATATAGCGGCGTTTACACTCCAAACGCCACAAATTGATAACTTTAGCGGCGTTTTTATACAAAACGCCACAACAGAGTAGTACTTTAGTGGCGTTTTTATACAAACGCCGCAATAGGTTCATCCATAGTGGCATTTTTTAAACAAACGTCATGACATAGTAGTACTTTAGCGCCGTTTTTATACAAACGCCGCTATAAACACGTAAGTTAGTGGCGTTTTTATACAAATGCCGTTATAGACATGTAATTTAGCGGCGTTTTTATACAAACGCCGCTATAGACACGTACTTTAGTGGCGTTTTTATACAAACGCCGCTATAGACTCATACTTTAGTGGCGTTTGTGTTTAAAAACGATGCTATAGACTCGTACTTTAGCGGCGTTTGTAAAAACAAACGTCGCTAAAGTTTAAAGTTTCCCTTTAACCTATTTTTTTCATTCTCGCTCGCTCCCTTTCTGAAAAATAAACATGTTTCATCTTCTCTCTTCCCTCTCTACTTCACCACCACTTAATTCAAATTTCCTACTTCACCACCACTGCCACTGCTCTCAGCGCTCTGCCTCCCGTGCCACTGCAGTCTGAGTTGCTCCCAATATATTTAGACCGAAAGCAAAATGAGATATAAGTCTAGAGAGAACTGGACTGAACCCGAACACGACAAGTTCCTCGAGGCTCTCCATCTGTAAATTCTAAAACTGTTTTTTCTATCTAATTAATTATACGAAATTTTTCTTGTCTTTCGAATTAGGGTTTTTGCCTCTCTCTTTTTCTTTTGGAAATTGATTGCGATAAATTGATTGTTGGTTTCGCTCTTGCTACTTCTGCTCTTGTTGATTGGTTTCGCTCTTGCTTGAGTGTCATTTTTTCTTTTGGCAAAATGGTTCTTCGTCAAACCAATTTGAATCCTGAAAGGCCCGGTTAGTAAATTTTACTACATTTTAAGGTTTTTATATGCCCATTTCTGGTTATAGAAGTGGTTAAAATTGTTTGCTTGATTTGTTTATTTTGTAGTGATTTTAGCCTGTGTTGGAAATAAAAATGCTTATAGTTGATCTATAATTCATCCTTAATTCTTATTAAGTTTTGCTATAAATTAGAAATGACTATAGCTTATAGTATGTTTAGTAACAAAGAAATCAGTACTGAGATAAGCTTAAGTGGTTTGTAAAATTATCATGTCAGATTTTGCTGCAGGATTGGGGTTTCCGTGTTAAAAAGTCGGGTTTTGAAGCTTGTAGAGAAATTGTGTCTTCGCATTTAGACAATTCGAATCTTGAATTATGATTCTCATCATTGTTTAGATTTGAATTTCTCTCTTACCACTATCATCCAAAAGATTTTTTGTTATGTCCAGCTCTATTCGCTTTTCAACGTGAATCAACTCAGACTTTCTCCTTGGTGCCATGAGCATATATTGGGAATAATAGTAAGGCTATTTTGTTTTCTTTGTCTGGCTGCAGGCTGAAATGCAGAAATTGAGGGTTGAAATGGCTTCCATGAAGAGGGATGCTGAGCATTATTCACACCAAGTAATGTTCAAATTTATTCCTCTATTTTCCTTACTTCAAACACATTTATGCATGCACCTTGTTCTGTATGCATGTTCTAATCAGAAATGAAGTATGGCTTTATCGATGGTTTGGTTTCTGTTAAGTGTATATAAACTGAAAGTGTTTATAATGACTACTGAACTTAGTACTAGTAGAGCCTTAACTTTTATTGCTTGTTTTACAGCTAGTTGTATGCCAGCTGCCAAGTTAATGCGAGGTCTGATTTGGTGAGAAATGGTAAAGAAATTTTTGAAAATAGCTTTCCCTTTTTTCTGGGATTTATTTAATTTTTCTTTGGGGTTGTTTTTATATATATATTTGAGCTATATAGTGGATTTTATTTTGTGGGTTTTCTTCGTTAAGGTGAAATATTCTGTCTTGACTAGTTAATGTGAGGTCTGATTTGGTGATGCTTTGAACAGTTCGCTTTTATATATATAAAGGTTTGCAAGTGAGATGAATGTTGAATGTTTAAACAATTGGTGTTAGTTGAGCAAGTCACTGGACTAAATACCCAGAGGCCTTGATTGTAGGGGAAAAAAAGTCAAATCTAGAGATGCACACAGTGAAAATAGTTGATAATTTGTTTTCTGACGAACTATCAAACATCTGTTGCATATCTCAACTTGTAGGACCTGTAAAATGTGAATAAATTATTCATATTGTTGTCTACCAACTAAAAGTTCATACATATAACAATATTTCCTGTATTTTTAACTTAACATCTGTGTAACACATCACAGTTTTACATTTTACTTCTCTCTACACAACCATGCTCCGCAGCTCCTGCGATTAAGTTGGAATTGCACAATTTAGCAATAATAATGGGTTTTGAATTGTTAAGGACTGACTAAAATGTTTAGTACAAGTAGTTACTGATTGTATAAAGAACATCGATGTTTGTTGGAAATTTAATTATAAAAAAGAATAATAAATGGAAGAGCTACATATTAGTATTTACATGGATTGCTCTGATAGAAAGAATATGGAAAGTGAACATTGTGGCTTACCCCACTAGAAAATAATATGTTATAAAATGTATGCATCTATATAATATCGCCTCATTCATACTAGATAGAGAGGAGTATGGCTGTCAGAGCTTCAAATGTTAGTCTTGCTTCGAATATTATTTGTTCTTAAAAAAATTGTGGCTGGATTTTGATGTTTAAGGCTGGTTGGTGTTGGAGAAGCTTCTTTCATAAGTCTTGCAGGTCCATTTATTGACGACAATGCTCCCATTTCTCAGGTCTTGTTCCTAACTTTGAAAACCTATCCTCTCGCGTACACTACACTATCAATCATGTTAATTCTCTATCATACTCCAGAGAACTGCCTGGCTTGCAACATTTTATATGTGCATACCCACTGGAATTGCTGTTGGATATGTTTATGGTGGACTGGTGAGTTTGTATATCCCTTTTGTTCTTTCTCACTTTATTTTTTCGTCTTGTTCTTACTGTACAGATACGTCTGCTGGATGTTTGAGAATTAATCAAAAAATATTTTTACTTAGGTTGGGGAACATCTTAACTGGAGCTATGCATTCTGGGGAGAGGCACTGTTAATGTTACCATTTGCTGTTTTTGGCTTTGTAGTGAAACCATTGCAGTTGAAAGGTAAACTTTCTGGCCTGTTTGCACTCCAGCGTTTGTTATTTTATTATCTCACAACATTTTAAATATTAAACATTTTGAACTTTGAATCGTAGGTTTTTCTTGTGTTGAATCAAAAAAAGAATCAACACCTGTGGAGACAATTTCTGCTGTAACTGATGGTACGCACTATTTATTCTTCTTCTTCTTCATCTTTGATTTGTTGTTGGTCCATTATTTACTGAGAAGTCACTTTCAGCTATCACATGGGTGGAGCTAGGAAATCTATAGTACGGTGTCATTTATTTTTAGAGTGGTGTCAATATTATTTTAAATGGGTGTCAATTTTATTTTTCATATTTTCATATTAAATTTACAAAATATTTTTCTTAAAAAAATAATTTGGGGTGTAAATTTCATCAAATGGCAACGCCCTTGAGTTACCTGGAGCGATGCACCTGTTATGTATATATGCATGTCATAAGTAGAAGGTTTAAATAAGGCTAGACAGAATATAAAAGGAAGTGTTAGATCTTTGGTATAGCACCTAATAGAACTAGATTTTAGCATAATCAGACAAAAATAAAATGTCAAGAGAGAGAAAGAGAGAAGTGTTCTGACGTAAGTTAGATGATTTGTTAATCTTCCCTCTATTTTCATTACCCAAATATTTTACCAAAAAAGTGGTTCAATGTGTCTCTAGGCGTGTAGCCAAAAAATGTAAGTAATGAAAAGTTCTTTTATGATGCCAATTCATGTTCTATGCAGTGAAACAAAGATCACAATCCAAGTTCATCTTTATTCTATATTATTCTCTGAATGTTCTGTATAAGTTTTGTGAAGTTTTAATCCTTCATTTTCTTTTGTTCTGCATACAAAAGGTACTAATCCATTGACATCTAGTTTGTCCATACTGCTATTCCAGCATCTCTGGTTTGTTGTTCCAGTGGAATGACCCCCGTGTCCAAATAGTTTGACAAGATTAGTGAATAAAACATTAAGTGAGTGGGTCTTCAAACCATTCCTTTAATTAAATCTCCTGTGACTTTATTTGTGTCACTGATCCTTATGATGAAGCAAACTGCTTCAAAACAATATTACTTATTCTTTGCAAATAGAAATTCTATTAAAGGGAACTAAGAGGAGACATCAGAAAAGAAAGATTTAAAAGGGTCATTGGATTCTATTTAAGAGTGTTGGTCACACTGGAATCACCACCCTTTTACATAATATATACTTGTTTACAAAAAAGTTTGAAAACGGAAACAATTTTATCTTATTAAAGTCTAAACTAAGATTTTAATTTCCAGACGCATAATTTTCAGTTTCCATAATTTAGTTCATAAATTTCTTTTAGTACTCTTATTTTTCCTTCTTTTGCAGCTTGTATATGTAAAGGATGATTTTTCATGGGTGAGCGACGAATATCGAAATGGAGTCGAAACTAAAGCAAGGGAAGCAAAGAGAGAAGCAACTTATCAAAAAAAATGCGAAGACTTTCAAAATCAACTTCAAGCTATGATGCAGATGATACGACAAAATCAACCCCCGAGTCCACCATCTTAGGTGTTATTATTGTTTATTCTAGTTAACAATGTTGAACTACATTATATTTTACGTTAATGTAAACTTTGATTTATTATTATAGATTTTAAGTATCTTGTTATGGATTTTAAGTTTGTTGTTATGGATGTTAAGTTTATTGGATAATGGTTTACATGTTAAATTTGGGTAACAAAATAGTAGAAAACATCATTTGAAAAATTAGTTTTAATTCGCGGCATTTTACATTCACAAATGTCACTATATGACATAACATTTAGCAGCGTTTTTGGCACAAAACGCCACAAAAGAAAAGATAAATAGCGGCGTTTGAAAAATACGCCGCTAAATATCATAACATTTACCGGCGTTTGTAATAAAAACGCCGCTAAATATCATTACCTTTAGCGGCGTTTGTAAAAAACGCCGCTACAAAACATCACCTTCAGCGGCGTTTGTGAACGAAAAAACGCCGCTACCTTTTGCGACGCTTGTTTCAGCGGCGCTTTTTTGCGGCGTTTGTTTTTGCGCCACAAAGGTTTTTAGCGACGTTAAAAAACACCGCTGTATGACCAAAAAAACGCCGCTAAAAACCTGTTTTGCTGTAGCATGCTTATGAGATCCAGTGGCAGTATGGTCGATAGAATCTTGCAACATAACAGGTTCACATCCATGCTGCACTATTTTATCTGGACTTGGACAGTTGTTGGATATAGATATGTATCTGACACTCGTGTTGCCTTCTGCTGATACACAAATTCATCTTTCTCCATGCGACACTATTAACGAATCAAGAATGTTTATTACCTGTTATTGTTTCAGGGGTACTCACCATTGGGTGCCCCAGACGCAGACACCCTAATGAATAAACTCCTCTAGCACCCAATGTTGAATATGGTGGCAGAGAAATTGGGCAAGTTACCTGCTCAAGTTGCTCTTCGTTGGGGGTTGCAAATGGGTCACAGTGTTGTGCTCAAGAGCACAAATAAAGAGAGGATCAAACAAAACTTTGATGTTTTCGATTGGTCCATACTATAATGCTTGTTCTCTAAGTTTTCTGAAATAGAGCAGGCAAGCTATGGACATTAATCCAATTCCATGAATATGTTAGTCCATCACTAAGTGTCGAAATAAATAAAGTCTTTTTCTCAAATAAATAAGCGAAGAACATAGTAGAAGAAATGGTCGATCTGCAGGGACTTAGAAATTTCCAATATCGGTTTGAATTGATCTTAATCCAAGAAAAGTGCAAAAGTAAAATAAAGGGGGTTTAGCAAAAGAAATTGAATAAATTGAAATAAATTGAAATAAATAAAAATAAGAAAAATATATGATTGAAAATAATTATGATGAGAGATACCTCCAGCTTCATTTCGCCTTAATTTGTTTCGATCACTGAAATAGATTTTACTTTGGGATTCTTGCTGATTACAGTCTAAAAGGCTCAACCCTTGTAACTTGCTCTTCTCTTCTATGAACTAATTTCCAAAGTCAACCCTTGAAATTTAATTCTTGTTCAGATTGACAACGACTATCGATGTTAACACCAACGCTATTTTAAGTGTTGAAAAATATCGTGCTCAAATTCTGGTGTCTCAATGAGAGTCGAACCTGATCTTGATTTTCCTTAGCATACTGCCACTAAGTTTGTTCTTAGGAAGTTGAATTTACTACAAGTTGATTCTTCTCCCCAACGGTAAATCAAAACAACATTCAAGCCAAGGTGCAATCTTTGAATTGAAAGTGTTGATATATTTAAAGGAAAGTCTGATTGTCAATCCTAGTTTGCAGAAAATCAAGAAAGATACTTGAAGGCATGAAGCGCTTTTCAATTCTCACAAAACGGATTGAGTTGTAGCTCAGCTTTCGGTTAATTCGAGTTTAGCCAAGCATGCATTGAATCATGTTTAGCATTGTGAAAAGAAAATAATGAAATAAAAGTAAAGGGAAAAGTATAACTTCAATAAATAGCTAAGGAAATATAAATTTCAATCTCAGTTCAAATGTTGAACCTAAAGGGTATTTATAACCCAAAAGTTCTAAGTAAATAAAATAACTAATTCCTAATCAAACTAAAAATCCTACCGAGAGTTATAATAAAATAACTAATTTCTAAATAAAATAATAATAAAATAATCAAACTAAAAAACCTAAATAAAAAAGTAATAATAAAATAATCAAACCAAAAATCATAAATCTAAAAGGTTTATCGCAAAAGATAAAAATAAATATTTAAGTATTGTACTTCTGGTTGAATTCTACTTCATCTTAAGGATAATCTTATGTCATGTAAATTCTAATTAAATATTCAAGATAATTCGCTCATCTTCTAGAATATGTGATTGGACCGTCAAAATCTGTTACTTTTTGGGTTAATTAATTCAATAAAGCTCATATCCAAAATAACCCCAAAATAAAGATAAATCAGTAATATTCAATCAAAAAATAATGAGTAAATAACAATAAATATATGCAATATTAAACACTCATCACATTCCTCCTCACTTATTCAATGCTTGTCCTCAAGCATACTTCAATCTCTATTTCCATCATTTGCCAAAGATTCACTCAAAAAGTTTTGTCGAAATCTATAGTTCAGGCATGGGTTGAAAAAGATAGACAATATAATCAAATAAAAATGACAAGCTAATCCAATGAATAACAATTAGCCAAGTGAATAAGGGTTAGATATACAGAGCTTTTGTTATTTGCTCGTGAGATGAAATCAAACAAAGTTTAGTTTCCTCATGAAAAGCAATTGGCGAAATGTGAGTTTTGTTTACCTCCCCTTTAGTATCACTCACACTATTTTTTTATTCAAACGATCTACCACTCACAACTATCTCACAAAGTTATACACTTGAAGATAACATTAATCACTAGCAAAACAAAAACTCATATTTAAGCAATACTAACAATTATACCACAAGGTTAAAAGGCTTTCATCAAATCATCTTATTGAATCAAATCAATTATTCATGCATAACAAGATCAACTCAAGCTTGTAAACAGTGGATTGTGACAAAACTAACAAGTCAATCAAGGTAAGCAATAGTCATAAGCATTGAAATATCCCATTAAACCAACAAGAATAAACAAGGTAAAATTTTCACTCTACCCCCTCACTTAATACATATTGTCCCAATACGAAAAAAAATAAAGCACAAAGTGAAAGAAAGTAGAATACTCCCTATGTCTAATCTGATGAGATACGAATAGACTCCATTTTCATATCTCTGAGCTTGTTCAAAATACCTGGTGTACCTAAAAATAAAAAGAAAAATAAATAGATAACTAGAAAAAGAAAATAGTAAAATAAATAGATTGATAAAAAAATAATAAAAATGGGTTGCCTCCCAGTAGAGGCTTTTGTTCAACATCGTTAGCTCAACGACCAGGTTTAGACTACAGTTTCTTTGAGAGATAATTTCTCTAGGCTATTGTCTAACTAAGAACTTCCTTACGAGAAAATCTACGATCGTAGAATTTTTTTTTCATTTTATCATTGTAGCTTCTGACATTCTCATAAGATTTTCTTCGAAACTTTTTCAGCCTTGAAAATAATAATCGGTTTTAGTATATTCTTTTCCCCAAGACATGTTCTTAAAATGTTTCGGCATCGGTTTTATCTCCAATTTTG